CTATTTCTCTCTTTCTCTCTCGTACTCGTACTCGTACTCGCGCTTACTACAGAGTATATATTTCGAAATACCGTTACCGGTTCATGACTCGACCTCGCGCCCTCATTTGTGAATCGTACGTGAATTCGACAGACCGGAAAATTGGGGCTTTCTTCAGTGGCCACCCTCACTTCCGGCGTGCCACCTGTGTGGCACACGAAAAATAGAGAGGGGGGGCTTATTGACGGGATGAAGAGAGGAAAAATGACAGTACTCTGACGGTGCATTTCTTTCTGCTGGGCGCGCTCAGAGGCGGCCGATTAGCGCTGGAACGCGGCTTCTTCGTTTAGCGTTGCTTCGCGTCCGATTCGGGCAAATTGGCGGTGATTGAACGCGGCCGTGTTAATTAGAGTCGTTAACTGCAGCGTTAAACGCGACCGTCGGTTTTGAGTTTCCATTTGTTTCATGTCGAAACCGCGGTTTAACGCGAGTTCAACCAAATTAATGTATCGCACACCGAGAGAAAAAAATGTTTGGTATTTGTAAAATATGGCAAAAAATAACTATAATTTTAGTTGGATTAACCATTATTTTCTCTCAGTCTTTTCTCTCAGTCCGATCAGTCTAATTATATTAATACTTGATATATAATTTAATTATATTTTTAAATAATTATTCAGTTTAAATCTCTCAATTTATAAATTGTTTTAAATCTCGAGAAATAGCGTGTCGAGCTGCGTTTTGGGGCGGCACGAATTATAACGGAGCTATTTCCGTCCATTATTCTTCCGGCGAACTTTAAATGAACATATATTTTCTGTTTTTTATACTTATCGTCAGAAAGACGCTCGCGAAAGGGGGGATAGCGTGTGCGCGACGATGCGCCCATTCGTGCAGAAATAATTTATATCGACTAGCCGTTTCGAGCAAATGCAATTTCCGAGAACTCGCGGCGAATTATTCTTCCTTTGCGCAGACCCAAGTCTATGTAGGAGGACGGCCTTCGTGTGGCGCCACAATGGGGCGACTATCCGTTATGCGCGCTGGTGAGGGCTGCGCCCGCGACAGCGAGTCTGTCGAGGAGCCTTGGTAAATGACGTATACGCATAGCCCGCGCTATTGAAAGCTACAAGTAATAATTATCCCTTTGTTGTTACGGGCGCGAGATTCTCCCGATCAGGAACACGCTCCTGGAGCTATTGAAACGTGGAGTCGGCGATGCACTCGGCATTCCGCCGTGCCTAACGAGATTGTTGCAACACAGCGAAGCTGTAAAACATCAAGACGAAGCAGTTAAGTCGGCGAAGTGGCTTAAATCTCGTTAAGACTCGTCTCTACCGCGTAGTATTCTCGGAATGATCTCTATGACGCGTAAATAAATATTATAAGTGTTTGCCTGAGTCAGGAAGCTACTGACGCATTGACTGTGTGTCGGACAACGTGCTTGTTTGCTTGCTTGCCTGCCAGAAATAGGTATTCTGAAGCACTCGTGTTCTCCACTCTTCACGAAAGCTATCTCTTACGTCGATATTATTCACCATCACCCAGCAGCTCCAAGTGGAATTTTAATCATTGGATTTAAGTCACTCGATCGGTTTAGCTTCTCAAGATCGCAATTTCGCAACTTAGTCGCGCATATCGCGCGATTTCCTTATCGTATCAGGATGGCCGCTCGAGTTTTAGCATAATTCACCTCTAAAATTACGATAATTAACGGCTACACTGCAAATTGCCGGATGATGTCGGGAAGAAGAGATAATATAATGGCTATAAATTATGAAATAATTCTTGACTGGACAGGACAACGGGCACTCGGCTGCAACGATCGCTTGTTAAACGCATCCTGCGACCTGGAGACACGGTCACGGGCGCTACCACGCGCGATACCCGTTGCGTGAAATTTATTTATAGAAATTTGGGTGCGGAACCCACCCCACCCCGGATGACAATCGGGGGAAATACGCGTACTTGAATCTGGAAGCGCTCGAGCGTTGCTGTGCATCCTATGATAAAAGAGAGGAAACAGCAGTTCCTTCTTCGAGCCCAGTCTTTGATTATCTAACAGTGTTTCCGCGCAGTTTCCGTCTTGAAACACAATTTCTCCTTAAAGATCTCACAGACTCGTTCATCTTATTGGAAGAATCAATCTCCTTTTTGACTCTGTCTGATTATATATTATATAATTCAAACAAAAACTCGTGTAACTCTAAATTCAGGCCTGAATATCTCAAGTAGGTCAAGCTTATTACTATTAACACGAGTTCTGATCTTTTGTTTGTGTAAAACAAGCTTAAAATTTAATTCAAATGAGATGATCACGAAACTGCTCCGACGCATTATTGGTCGTATCAATTTTCTACATCATGTTTTGTTCAATTTGACTCGATTGCACTGACGTTTGACTCTTTTCACCTCATTATCTAGGGTGCCTATGTTGTACATAATTCTTGCAACTCGAGTGCTCGTTCACGAAGTTTGATAATTATCCGAAGTCATGTCATACGCTCTTCAGAGAGACAACTCTCGAAGAACTCTCCCACAATAATCGCCGGCATCTCGTGCTACCGACGTGCATTATCTCGCTGGCAATTAAGCTGGAAATGGACTCGCGTCTTCGTTCTTAATCCCCTAATCCCGCACATCGACTGATCATTCAAGGCATCAATCTCGCGTTCTCGTCGTACAGGCCGGTCGCGATGCATGTGGTGCTTCATACGGATATGTGTAGGCGTGTTGCTATATTTGGAACTTGAATGCGCTCTCTCTTTCTCGCTCAAGTGGAGTCGCGTGGCGCGGCCGTTCGCTGCTACTCGAGTGCACATGTACGTGTGATACGAGTACGACGCCGGTGGCCCTTCGAGCTGTCGCTCCAAACGCGGCGTTATTAATAAACGTTATATCTGCCGTGATAATCCCATTAGAGACCGTTAGGCAGGCTGCGAACGCGATTCATCTATCGCATTTCTAATCTCTGGGGTCTCCGCGTCACGTGTTTGATTTCTCTATAATTGTACTGAATATAGTTGCTTTAGACAGAACTTCTTCACAGAAGCATGTAAGCTTCATTTTAACAAATAGGATAAATAGCCCTCGTTATGCTCTCAGAGTCCATTGAACCCAGCTGTAGTTTCTCACTCTCTTCTTTGAGCGCTTCTAATTATCTATGAAGATTGATATTTCAAGGCTCAGGAGGTCTAGAAATTTATAAGCACTGACGTTACACGCGTATTCTTTTATAAATCTATGCGACATTAACCAAGCCAATAAGATCGCGATTGATCGGCTATAACGGTGGGACGAGGTTGATTAATTGATCAACGATGTATGGAGGGCTTGCGAGTGTTGAAATTAATCGCTACTGGTTATATGCCTTACATCAATTGCCGCTATAAGATAAGACTACACAAGAGCAAGAGTCTGGCTTGATCCAGCTAGTGTAAGAGCTCAGGTACTAATGGTGCTGGCAATCACAAAGCTATTAACTCGCATCTCTAACATTCGCGGAACACTCGTCGAAATTAATAGAAGGGTAGTTTCGAGTATTCTCGAGTGATCTACGCACGCGAGGCTTTGTCTTCAAGCCTTCGAGTTATATGCCGCTGCAAAATTACCAGCTGTGCAATACTCCCCCTGCATATTGCCCCTGCGACGTTTGCGACTGCGACTTTAACCGTCAATTACGTAAACTATGTAAAGGACGTAGAGACGTTCCTCCTTTCAGTGCCCTCCACCGCCGCGCGTTGCCCACACGAGTAATTCATGAAGAAGTGGGAAAACCAATGTGCAACTCGGTTTCCGATATCGCTTGACGGAAAAGTAATGAGGGAAAAGCATATCGCGGGACATACGCGATATAATATTTTTTCTCTCATGTAAGGTCTATTGGAATGTTGAACAACACACAACAACAAATTGCTGTTTGTTTGATCGTTTGAATTTTCCAGCTGACTCTCAAACTCTTGTTGATTATCTCTTGAAGTAAAAAAATTGCGCTGATCTCACACCTCGAAGAAGGTTATTCTGCCGCGCAAACTGCAGTCGCGAGTCAAGTTGTACAAAAATCGAAAGTTTGACATGGAAATTTTTGACGCGAACGGGAGTTTAAACGGAAGTTTTGCCGGAAGAATCAGGGCAGTCGCCACATCCAAGTCTGATGAACCGAGCTCGTTTAGCTCGATTCGAGCTGTCTCGGTAGTTCCTCCCTTATAGTGCAGCGAGCATTTCGTTCACACATGGAACCGCAGGCATGTCCTCACGAACATGTGGACCTGGTTTCTCATCCGCGTGACGTCTTCACGATAGAAGATGGACCGACGGCGGCGGCGGCTTTCTTGAGCGCATCTGTCGCAGAGGCTCGAGGAGGTGCAGCGCGAGTTATCGCCCTCGAGTCGCGTTCAAGTCCAAGGTTTCGAGACGCGCAGGAGTGGCGCTACTCTAAAAATAATAATCTGTCGTCTGAGAGTCTGGGCTCCGGCGAGAAAAGATCCGCAGAGGCGAACGTACGCGCTCTCGTGTGTATGCAACGTCTGGCAGCGACGTCATCCAGGCCCCGTCGTCTCTTTGTCCCGAGCCTGACCTTGATTCCGCGCTCCTCCTCGTCGTCGTCGCGAATGCGAACGACCACCTTGACTCGCAGCCCTGACTTTGAAGCTCGCGGCCTCGCCGTGCAGAAATATCGAGCGGTCGCGAGGTGAACGCGCGCGCTCCTCCGAGCTAAAAATCCCGGCGCCTGTTCGAGGATCAGCCTGTTACGCTTGTTTCGCTCCAAGTGCAGGATGCACAAAGAGCGCGCGGGCCTGGTAAAAGGAGCGATGTCTAGATCAGAACTATCGGCTCGCTGCGCTTTCCATGCTGATTCCCCTCCTTCTGGATTCCTTGCGAAAGTTCTCCTCAAGAGCGGGAAATTTCATATCGATGCACACCGACGGACGTCGTAATCGGATTAAGGGAGATCGATCTTGCGAAACATTTCTTTGCTCTTCTCTTTTCATGCGAGAGCATTAATTTGATCGTTTCTCCAGGATGACGAGACGAAGCCCACGGAGCCCACCGACGCGGAATCAGCCCCTGTGGTGACGAAGGAGAAGGAGCAGGACAACGCACCGTCTGCGGAGAAGCTTACCACACCCACGAAGGATTCTAAAGAGAAGGAGGGCCGGAAGGGCATCCTCAACGCTATACGCATACCCTTGGTGTCGTCTGTGTTCTCCAGGAAGAGGAAGGTAACTATCGAGAAGTCCCCGTCGAAGAATGTAAGGCAGAAGTACTGATTCCCGCACAGTGTCTAATCTCGGACATTCTAGTTCGTTTTGTTCTTTAAATACGATTATTTAAATTGTCAAGACGTAGAATGGGTGACCCATGTAAAGCATGACAACCTAAAAATATTTTATATTATTATAAAGTTTAGATATTTGTATTTAAAGATCAAAACAGTAAGGGCGAATATACACTTTGGTAAAATAGCTGAAAACAGAAAGACAGAAATCGACCAGAACTGATAAAAAAACAAACTGTTGACTACAATAGTTGACCTGAATTACAATTGTTGATCGCCAGGCGATTGGCTTCTGCCTTTCTGTTTTCGGCTTTTCTGCCAAACTCGCCTTAAGAATGTCCAGAATTACGTGTTCGGGAATCGATACTCTTGTCTCATCTTTCTACAAACATTTCGCTTAACCGCGAGACAATATTAGAAATCTTCGGGGGCTAATAACGATTATTTTGAAAGCGTCGGGCTAACTCTCCACAATAATATCCGGAATCGCGGCACGGCAACTGGAATGTTTCAATAAGAAGTAAAATTACGACAAGCAAAAAGATCGACTGTGCTCTCCTCTTCCGGGAGAAATTCGCACTTGGCATTAATTTATCTAAACTGCGAGGATATAAACCGCCTGGAGACGATTTCACCGTTTTTGCGGCGCCCCGAGTGACCGGAATAACGGCGATGTATAAAGGAAAGCACATATATTTTTAGATCCTCGCGACACGCGACGGAAAATCTCTTTCATATATCGAGGAAACATCTACGATCCGTGAAGCAAATCGTTCGGCAGTTTATGCAGCACTTCAAAAATGTCGAGCCTTTTGAGGAGCTTTCACCGCATCCGCGGCGTCACATCGTCCTCTGCCATTCTACCCTTTTTCTGCGAAAGATCTCCTCATGCCTTCCCTTCTGTTCTGTTCGAAGTGTGAGACATAACGTGCTCGCACGGGCGTTACGGAATGCACACGAAGCGCGCTCGTCGAGATAGCGGGCCGAACTATAAAAAGTGAAAAATGAGCCTTGACTTTTTTATAAGGAACCCCCATTCTGTCGTCTCCTGTGAATCGGTCCATTATCGTGCCGAACGCCTCGTCCGTACATTTCGCAGAACTCCGCCTGTGATCCGTACATCGAAAGAACGAGGACTTTGCTGATCCCATTAAAATTTCAACCGCATTCTCTTTTCTGTTGTTCTAGCAGAAAAGTAACAGCAGTCATGCGCACACGAAATCTCAATGAATAATGCTATAATGACACTTAGGTTCGTATTAATAGTCGTTACTTGCTTCAGGTGAGATACTCAAATTTTTATTCAGAGTCTGATCCAAGTTTTCCAGTTGAATTACGACAAACGTGACATCTGTAGCTGCGATTCAATGTATCGTATAACTCTGAATTGAAATCTGAGTATCTCACTTGAGACGAGTTTCAAATAATGACTCTTAATACCTTAGATTTTAATTTAGAGTTAAATCTGAGTTTCTCAGCTGAATCGCGATTGCAAGTGTAATGTCACATGTATTAGTATAATTCAAATGAAAAACTCTTATTTAATTTTAAATTCAGATTTGAGTATTTCACGTGGGACAAGTTTCAAGCAACGACTGTCGATACGAGCCTTATACCGCGAGGATAGTTTTCCCGACCGCAATTATCTCGCCGCGCAGTTATAATCAGCACCGATACCGTTCTCCTCGGTGTAAAAAAAAAAAAAACACGATGAAAGAGCTCTCGATGAAATATCTCCGCGAGATCTCTCGATTGCGACGGAGGAGAGGAAGGGATACGTAATATCCTGACTGCGCGATTATCGGAGGCATTCGCCTCGTAGATGAAATCTCTCCAAATGATCGCGTTCCAACGAAGGGCACATAGTAGTACGATATCCAGCGTAGAGCGGAGTCGATAGTATGCCTCCATAGTACGGTACCATCCAGTATCCGGATGTAAATTATACCTGTGCGAGCTCGCTCGTTTTTCTCCGACCTTCCATTCCGTCTCTCTACAACGCATACCGGTGTGTAGTATGTGTGTACACACATCGGGTTTAATTTTAATTGCTCCTTAATCTCCCGTGGAATATGTCGTTACACGACGTTCTCCTCCCGATACAGGTTTAAGTAACTTCCTCTCGTCCAGCTCCCCTAATTCAGACGATATTTATGAGAACGGTTGGCGAGAGAGATCGTAATTGAGCCGAGATTAATAATCGTCGCGGTCTCTTTAATCCGCTCCTCTCTTCTAACCGACTCTCCGCTTTCAGGAAGCTGATTCCGAGTTGGGACAGACTGGCGCCGCTGGATTAGCGAGTGTCGAGACTCTCGACGATGCCGCCAACGAGAGAAACCCTATCGCCTGCGAAGACGGCATGGAAACGGTGCGACTCGATATAGAAGGAGCCGATGGCGCCGAACCTCCCGCGCAGCATCCTCTGGTAGTCTTCGTGTCCGCGGTTAAGCGACATCGACATTACTTAGGTATTCTAACATGGAAACGATCGTGGTATTCATGCACCTTTAGGGAGAATTCACAGCTTGGCAGAAAAGCAGAAAACGGAAAGGCAATCAGAACTCACGCTGGTGGAAAAGCAGAAACTGTTGACTACCACTTGACCACCAGCACGAGTCTTGTTTGGCTTCTGCTCTTCTGCTTTTCTGCCAAGGTGTCCTTATTCCCGTGAATACAGAGAACTCTGTTCCAATTGGAACGCACATGAGCTGATGTTCTCCAGTTACGAATTCGAGCCGAGATAGAAGGCCAGTCACGATATTTCTGTGCGACGTGCTGTAATCTGTTCTTTTTTTCCGTAGAGTAGTTACTGATTGTTAGAATCTGGAACAATGACACCTATATTAAAAAAAGAAATCGATTGAGACAGCTAAAATTGAGTTAGATAAACTTGATATTGTACAACGAATCAATTATCTTGATTCTTTCGGCCAAACTCGCTATTCTTTTAAATATCTACAACGGGATTGACAGTGAGCTTTAAAATGTAAACAGTAAGCAAATTGACCAACATTATTCTTGTAATAATCAACTTGGTTGGTCAATTCGCTTGCTGCTTACGTCTTACTGTCTACTGTCACTTTAGATGGACTTTTAATCTTCTGTTTGCATAAAACAAGCTCAAAATTTAGTCCAACGAGGCAATCATAAAGCTGACACATTATCATGCATCGTCTGATTATATCGTGATCTTTGTTTCACTGCGACGGGCTTGGCTTGCTATTGTCCGGTGCGTTCCGGTGTTAGAACAGTGTTCGCTGGCAATTATTCAAACAATAGCCTTACGATGACGAGCACGATTACACGTGTTAACGGTGATCCTTGAATGCTAGTTGCGGGGATCATTATCTTGCTCATCATCATCACGTGCATCGTCTGCATCCTACCCAAGGAGTCCCGATCTACGCAGCCGCTGAAGAACGGCAAGTACATAGACGCGGTGACGACGTGCGGACCGGTGCAGGGCGTCCTGGAGGACGGTGCCTACGCATTCCGCGGGATTCCGTACGCGTTACCGCCAATCAACAGCCGTCGGTGGCAGCCGGCTGAACCGGTGCGCCGGATCGAGTACTGCTGGAATGGCACTCGCTTGACGCACAACCCCTCCGAAGTGTGCTGGCAACGCCAGTCCTCCGGCCTCGTGGTCGGCACCGAGGATTGCCTCTATCTCGACGTGTTTACTCCGAAGGTCGGTTACGACGCTCCGCTACCTGTGGTCGTCATGATCGGCGCGGAGACCCTAAGCGGCGGCTCGCCCGGAGTAATGCAGCCCTCGGCTAAACTGTCGCGCGTGCGTGACATCGTGTTCGTGCGGCCGAACTTCCGGTACGACACGCTCAACCTTATCGCCCGCGGATCTTTCCAAAGCGTTCATGCATCTTGTTACTCCGTGTGTATGTAAAAGCACGATTGGGAAAGTTACTCTTCCATTCCTAAAAAAAGTAACTCACTACCGTTATTTATTTTGGAAAATCATTTGTTACCGTCATTGTTACTCGGGAAGTAATGAATCGTTACAAATTCCGCTACTTTCTTTTTACCAAGTCTTGAAAATCTTCTTTTATGATTCTTCCTTTTTTACTTCGTGAATAGATATATATATATATCGTGCTATGTATATATAAAGTAACAATTATATTCCTTATCAAAGAATGTAATCACATCACTGTCAACGCGAAAAGAACTCCGCAATCGAGTTATTATCGAGAAAAAGTAATTTGTAATCGTGTTACTTTTCAACTTTGTGTAAAAGTTATATTACCTAAAACGATGTTTATTCGTATCTCTGATACATTCGCGCAATTACGAGAAGAAGGTTTGCTTAAACTTATGTTGTCCTTACTAGATTGGGGATTTTCGGATTCTTGGCGGCTGGACCTCTCTCCAAAGCGAATCATCCCCCGACTTCGGGCAACTACGGATTATCGGACATCATAGCGGCTCTTCAGTGGGTGCAATTGAACATTGAGCACTTCGGCGGCAACAAGTCGTCCGTCACACTATGGGGGCACAGAGCAGGCGGCACTTTGGTGACGACGCTAGTCGGTACTCGCCGCGCCAAGGGTCTTTTCTCGAGGGTATGGATATCCAGCGGAAGCGCAATCTTCCCAGGCAAGGAGCTGGATAAGTCCGAGAACTTCACAACACCGTTCCTCTACGGGCTCCAATGTTCCGACGCCACTTGTATGAGAAGCAAGACGGCCGAGCAGGTCATGGACGCCGTGCCAGAGATATGGTACATGAATACCGTGGGTCTGCCGGAACCGAAGGAAGTCCGCGAGAAAGACAACAGACACGAGTGGCTCGTCCAAGACGGTGTGATTCTTCAGGAACACGTCGGTCAGATCTGGACGCGGGAGGATAATCTAGTAAAGATGGTGATAGGAACCACCGCGCACTCTGGCACACCACTGCAATACATGCAGCCTAACGTTACTCTCAGTGCATCACAAGTCAGGAAAATCGTACAGGAATCCTTGCTCGGCACCAGTGGCATAGTGGACGAGGTTCTTAAGTGAGTAATAATATTCGTTAATCAACCATCTTTATCGATAATGTCAGGAGCGAGAAAATACACACGTAAGATTCGAGACACTTTGAAATCAATATATGTATCTATAAACTGACACTCGACTGAATATGTTTGCGAGAAATTCCATGACTTTCCTTTTACTCCAATGCTCAGTAAATAAAACGTAAAATTAACGTAATAGGATCACGAAGTTGAAAGGTAAGTGTTAATTTAATAGCTAGTTCGGTCATTATTGGGGCAGATAAAGATTCTTAGGAATATGGTGCTTCATAAGACACTGACTTTATAACATCGTTCCTTTTTCAGACGTTACAACGCCACGTTGAAGGGACTAGTCACTATGATCTCCGACATTCGCGTAGTGTGCCCGCTGTTAACCGTCGCCAGAATGAAGAATAACATACCGTTTTACGTGGCTACTCAGCCGCGCGGACGCTTGGCCGACCCCGACAGCGATGCCGCCGCTATCTTGGGTACTTACGCCGCTGTCACGCCCGAGGAGAAGAGACACGTGTCGGCCATGCAACAGTTGTTCAATTATTACGTATGGCACGGCGAGGTCCCGCAGGCCGATCGGACGAACGCCAAGCGAATCTTAATAGTCGGTCAGGACACGCTGCTGGAGAACAATTATCCCAACTGCGATTACTGGATACAGTCGGACATGGTGCCCTCGTACGGATATGTCAATTAAGAGGAGCTCTTCTTGCCTGTAGGACTCCGCGTTAGGATCGATCTGACGGACCCGTTCCGGGGGGTAGCGCGCGTCGCCCGCTGAATTCCCGTGGAACGCGAATTCCCACGGCACAGGTATGTACTTCGATTACTTAAGTAGGATCGATAATGATTGTTCTACGAGATATATGCGGATCGAGACAAGTAAATGATCATGCCTTTGTGGTGCGACGTATATAGTAGTACCTGTCAAATCATGACAATTAATTAACGATAAAAGCCAAAATATAAAGCAAGATTAAAGGGGAAAAGAATGAATTTATATAGAGATGCGCGCGCGCGCACGCGCACACACGCACACACACACACACACACACACACACACGTGTGTATGTGCCGACGTGTGGATTCGTTCTCGATGCTAAAGGATATTTTACGAAATGTTTAGCAGCGAAAAGTGAATGTTATCCTTTGTATATCCGCGACCCAAGACAAACGTGCGTCTGACCACAAGGCACGTGGATTATTATGTATGTGTGTATAAAGTACGAATCAAATTGTAATATATTGCATACGAGCGGAAACGGTGACGCGTGAGGAGATACGAAGCGTAGCTTATCAAGGAAGAGGATCGATAAGTTGACAGCGCGTACACATTATGCAATTATACACATAATTGTATAATATATACATATATTGTTGTAAGATATATATATATATATATATATACACACGTGAGCAATGGGTGCGAATAGGATGGAAGGAATAGAGCGGCATCGGCCTTGCGGGATTTCTAAGTTAGTCGTGTTTCTCGACTGAAGATTGTTCGATCAGAGAATCGACATTTATGTCAATGTCAATGCCAAAACTTTAGTTGAAAACTTTTTGATGAGTTTTTACACATAGCCGTAAAATATTGAAATACCTCATTTTCCTCAGGCCTCTTCGTATCCAGCTCATAGACGTAAGGTAAGACGTAAAGTAAGACGTATCTCAGAATATATATTGTTAGCAATAGACTGTCAGCGTGTTAATTGGACGAGAATAAAATAGCTGTCTTAACAATAGACACACAATGGACCATGCTCCTTTGCGCGCTGCGAGAAGTACTATTAGGTCGGACAGATTTCGGAAAGGAGTTGGGACATTATTCGCGATTTTATTAAAATAATTCGAACATATTCGAATAAATATTATTCGAGTAAATTTCTACTTTGGACAAATACTCCAAAACTTTACGAGTGAAAACAAATGAAGATCTATTCAAATAAAAAAAGAAGTTCTTCATTATTTGCGAAGACATCTTCGAGTGTTGTGCGTTGCTCGATAAAAAGATTTGCCCAACTCTAGTCTCGGAAAATATTAATGGAACGTATGCGGTGCATCGCGTTTGTGGAAGCAAACTCTCTCTCTCTCTCCCTTCTCTAATTTTTTTACAAATGATTTCTTTTCGTGCGAAATGCTTTATCGATATTTTTTATACGCGTGTAATTTAAATGAAAGGCAGTTTTCTCTTTCTACACGAGAGATAACTGCAGACTGAACAGATATGAGTAATATTTATCTACCCAATTAATGGAAAAATCTTGGAAAAGTTTTGGAAAAGATTTTTCAACATATTCAGACTGAGAAGCTGCCAAATTTGGTATTTTTATACCGAGCGTCATATCTACTTAAATAGTTTGACTAACGCGTTGGTATTCGCGCACGAGATGTATTGCGATCGATAGCTCTTCGCGCGCCTCTTCCTTCCGTAAACGCGATTCTTGTCTCGCAGATAATAATTTTGAGCCTTCTATTTATCACTCATATTTTTAATTGCGACTATTTTACGACTCCTATTCACATGTGTGTTTATGTGTGTATTATTAAGTAATTTAATTTATTGTCATTAATATGTGATAAGTAGCACTTATAAGAAGAAAAACTTATACGTTGTTTTATTTTATAGATATGTATATATGTATGTATATATACATATATATGCATACATATGTAATGTATATGTTTTACTTTATATATATATATATATATGTATATGTATTTAGCTAGGTCATTTTTTATGTAATTAAGTAATAATTAAGTCTCTATTACGTATTTTGACGTATACATACGCGATGATATCAAGCAGTGACAAATATTTGTAGTAGTAATCTGACTGATCATAAGTAGTTAAGAATACTACCGCAGAGAGTTCCGAATATAGCTAGGATATATCCTTAACTCGTACGTGGAAGACATTTGAATCTCCTAAGATTATCTCGGCAACGAAACCACATAGTGACAAGCGTAAAGTAATTATATCAAGACAGAGTTGATATAGTACATCGTATTTTATACTTATATAAAAAAAGACACTCTTTAAACACGGTATATATACATATATACATATATATACATATATATATATATATATATATATATATATATATATATATATATATATATATATATATATAGCGTGTATAGTTTTATGGATATTTTGGATATTTAAAGTGCTTCTACTTACGTGATGGCGACTTCATACGCGAAGGACGACGTTAGAACATGATATACCTCACACAGCAGAGGTGTCCAAAATATATCATAGGGATATCCTAAAGATATATTTGGGATGTGATATCTTCAAGATATCCTTATGATATATTTGGGACATTCCTGCTGTGTGGGACGTATGTACATATGTGCGTACATTTTCTCGACCAAGCGAAAAATGCGAAAAACGTCAGAAACATATTACGTATTCTTATGACACTACCCGCACTCCGCCTGAACTAGATGTTATGTGCTACAATATATAACTTGGCTTGTATTCTTGAATGTTAGCAGTACTAAGGTGATTGCATTCCATCGTGCTATACTTTATTACGCTTCACACGGGCTACAATACGACTTTACCGTATAATTGCAAACAAAAAATTATTTTCAGATTCCGGGAATGCCGTTGTATGTGCGACACGTCTCCTCATATTTATTTCTTTAATGCGCTTTAAGAGAACAAAATATATATCAGCCGTTATAGGACAATTAATAGTATCCACAGATGGACCTTATCGTATTAATTTGCGGTAAATGATAGACATCTTTAACTTTGCAGCATACCGACAGAATTCTATTCGAAGAAGGTAGAATTTGTAGAGATGTGTATACGCAAATTATAATCGCATATAAAAATATTGCATATTGAATAATAATTAATAATTACAGATAGATTTCCGTCGCGAATTATAAGTCGTCCAAAGCGGGCTCTCCTTATACTTGCGTACAATGCGGCAATAATTTTATATTACTACGATTTAATTTTAAGTGTATTCTTATTCGCGCGTTTACGTAAAAAGTGAAGTTTTACTCATATCATCAGATATACCTATATGAAAGTTTAACTCGCACGAATCTTACACGTACTCGAGTATTCATGTTCAGTGAAATACGTGGCTGTTTGGATGTATTGCTTTCAGATGTCTGTATTGAATAGAGATGTGCGAACTATTCGAATCGAATCAAGTGAAATTCGATTCGATTCAAATTCGAATCCCTATAATTCGAATCCGAATAATTCGAAAATTTCGAATCGAAAAGATTCGAATACGGATCGCAGACATTAGTATTAACGAAGAACTATTAGACATCCAGCCTTACGGGAATTAGCATGACTTGAAAAGTTTGTTATACATTAAGATTTTCTTCAAAAATATTAAAAGAAGATAATGGCTTCTAAATAAATTCTTACCGACAACTGTCGGATCGATATGTGTCTTTGTGCAGCTTTCAAGGCTGGAACTGTATTTCATACACGTTTATCGACTATATATTATGTATCTCTTACCTTAAAATGAATTGATATCACATGATCAATCTCTTTCTGTTAGTTACTAGAGTCACTATTTTCATGTTGAATTCAATGATTATGTTAATTAAAAATTCTTTTAACGATTCAATTCGATTTCATTCGATTCGATCCGGGTGAAAATTCATCAATTCGATTCGATTTGAATTCGAAATTAAAATCTGAGATTTGATTCGGTTCGATTCGACATTAAAAATCTTTGATTCGCACATCTCTAATATTGAATTCGTATGCATCATCGTCGAGAGCCGCCGCCGAGGCTATTTGCACATCTTGATATTGGTGCAGTGTGCGTTTGATATTCCGGTTGTATTTAACTTTCGTTCGATCACACTGTAACACAATTTTATACTGTATTCACGATACTACAAATAAATCAATAAATAATAAAGTCATACATAAAAACAATTAACTCGGAATGTTCAAATACCGTTCCAGTGAAGTTGTGTGAGAGGTTTTTAACATCAATTAAATATATATATTAACATGAAGTGAATATACTAAATTCTCATATAAACTGAAAATATGTATTGTGTCGAAAACATTCCGCAGTATTTTTTTTCATGAAACATCTAAAGAATCCTATATCTAACGAAAATGATTTTTTTCGAACTATAGTTTATGACATTGAACCTAAGAGGTTGAAATTGATCGCCTATTGAGTTGCGAAACAAGTTTTTTTATTTATTATTTATTATCGTAGCACATGCGATTTTACAGTGCATAGGCGTACACGATAAAACTGGCAAATAATCGATTAGGATTGACGTAAAATATAAACGAGAAAGACAGTTTTTTCAAGAGACGATTTTTGTAACATATTTATTTAAAAAATTTTTCCGTATTACATAATGCGCAGCACAAAGAACAGATATAAAATTTGTCATTATCTCGGAAAACCGTAACGTTGCTTCGTGATATCAAGTATCGAAATCGTATGACCGGTGTGTGTGGTATAAAACATATAAATTTCATCAATCATACACAATGTCATAAACATGTTATCTTCTACTACATGCCCTTGATCAGAATGATATTTCTTGATATAGCCATAGGTTTTGCAATATATCAATTCTATATAATTGTAGATGACTGGAATCGTAGCGGAGTGTGTGAAGGAGAGAAATATGAAAACGCGTGGAAATGGACGCGTATGTGGAATAATACGTAAATGTGTACTATGATATGATGTCTGTTGTTTTTTGTCATTTCTTATATTACTTAGTCTTTCTAAGCTTATGCCTACGTAAAATCACATAATAAAACTACTAATTTCTCTTGTATCATAAAAGATAATAATTGTAATTTTTTTTTATTGCAGTTATATTCGTACTTTTTATCATCTTTTTTTCTTTGTTCAGTGATGGCAAGATTCTTTAGTTTTAATTTTTACCGCAATCCGTGTTTTTTGCTAGCAAACGATAAGTATTTTTTTGTGTGGAAAAACATTATGCTTCAATCGAAGAGAGTGTTCTAGACATACGAAATATATTTGGTACTCTTTTACAAATTTATAAATGATTTAGCGCTTGAAAGGATATTCGAGAAATGCTCAGATATCTTATATCAGTAATCACTGCTAAAATGAAGAATAGAAACAAAGTTATTCTCTCAAACAAGCAACAATAATGTTCCATGGCAGATTGCTTGTCCTATTATCGTAAGTCTTTGTTGCTACTATCATACGCATTTCGTAAGAACAGATTTTTAATCACATGATGATTATATAGGTATCATATTAGTCTCTATGTTAAAAAAAAATTATTTACATCAATGTTCCCATAAACCTATCGATATTGATGTCATGTTATATAAAATTTGATATTTTCCTATACCTTCTAATAAAACTTCACGTAATAAATTTTTTTCGTTATTGTCGCACTATTTTAAATAATCTGTCTTGCGCCATTGATAAGTTGTTCAATTCGAATTTGAAAAACTAGCATTCTTTTATGCGGACGAATTTCAGACATATATGTATATATATTAAGCAACAATACTGCATTGTTTTGGCATTAATAAACTTCAGCAACAACCAAACAATTTTATAATATGTATATATATAGCAAAAGTAACAAAAATTATGCTGTCTATAATGTAACGAAAAGTATGTAATAACCAAATAAACAGAATTAGCTATAAACAGTATAAATAATAGCACTGTTATTTAAAATAATGACACATAAAAATAGATATCTTTCAAACGTAAAAAGTTCAAAAGTCATAAGACTTCAATAAGAATTTATTTTTTAGGCTAATTATATTGTTCATGTCATCTTGTCTAAATCTTTAATATACAGAACAATTCTCAAATAAGACAAAACTTTAAATACATAACAATTCGTTTCCTAATTAAACAATTATCGCATAGTGTCTATATAAAATCATTGAATTTAAAAATATCCTATCAAAATAACAAACTTTATTTCTGTAAAATCTCTTTACAGAAAAGATGAAAAGCCGGTGTTATCGTGTCCGAAGAATTCTAGTTCCATTTATTTACAGAATTAGAAGAGTACTCTGTACTTAAGTAAGTTAAAGCAGTATGGAACAATATAATTATCGTAATTGTAATAGGAATTTAATATTGAATTCAAGATATAAAATCAGTTATAAAATGATACTATATCTTTTAAGTAGAGCGTATTGTGCCTTATAACGAGTTACATATTATTTAAAACCCTAAATTAGAGACTGTGGTGTTTCATGTTTCTGTATTATTGATGAATACTTCCAATAGTATTCATAATTTGAGAGTAACGACTTGAATATATATATGTAAGAAAAATTTGTAAGCGCATCACCTTAGCGCATGTTACCTCAAGTTAAGATCAATAACGTACTTAATATTGTGGATGCTGATCTTAAAATATGTTGCTTATTTACATATGGCAATATATAACGAAGGCAATCAACGGGAATATATTAGTTGCCGATAAACTATTTGAAAACAACTAGAATGTGTCAATAACAAGTATAGCAATCATAAAGAGTGTCGTTACTTAAATATTTTGCATAAACTATATTTATCAGCAAGTTAACACAAGGCGCGAAACTGATTTCTTTCGTACTTCCTATGATACGCAATCTATTATACTACGTATAAATCGTCGATTACCCGAACTGTTCAGTACAAACAAGTTACTTTCCAAAATACGAGTGAAGATAAAGTTCTTTCATCTCGTGTAACTCGATCGGAGCGATACTAAATTATGCGAGCAATATATAAAATGATCGATTTCCATTTTTTTTTTGCGACATTATTGTATCGTTTTACCGTTATCACAGATTGTTTTGGTGGTAGGCCCATTTGCTACATATCACGTTCGGCAGGCCTACAATGGACTAGAACATCTTATCAGGATCCACCGGCAGTCCGCATCGAAACGTTTAAACCGCCATCACGTTTCTAGTGTCGGGAAAAGTCTTGTTAATACGAAATAGGCCACGTCGTAATTATTCCAATATGCCGTGTGAGCTGTTACTGTGTATAAGTAGTTCCTTCCTAAACCAACGGCGCGCAGCACGTAATCCAGTCGTTGCGCCAATTCTGCAAGAAGCAAATAGGAAAAATGATCAATAATTTATCTCAAGATACATCTGACTCTCGTGTGAAAAAAGTATTACTACTGTGTGATATTCGATATGCAAATACCTTGTCCTGGACGGATTGGTGGATTCGAATCTGGTGTCGGTGAAGACGGGCCCTCTTTGACATTCCAGCCGCCTCGGACTAAATCCCAAAGACTCCAGCTCTTTTCTGCACTCCGATTAGGCGTATCCACTGGACTTTCATCCTTGTCATCCGCTTCTACTAATATACAATTATATTCTTTTATCATATGTTAAATATTGTCACTTGAAGATTGTTTCCCTTTTAGAAATTTAATTGGCTTCTTCGAAAAGAATGTACTACAAGATTATTTTTTCACTTATATTAATTGTTTCAACACTAATTTATCTTATCAGTCCGTAAACACAGTAATTATTATAATGATTATATTTAGCGTGCAACAATGAATTAAGAACAAAGTATCGTCGTTGTTTATTATTCAGGTTAATTATTCATGAAAGGTAACCTGTAGGCGGTAGAACTGGATCTCCGTTATTCAATGACGAAGGAGACTGCTCCATCTGCTGTCCATCGACACCTCCGTACGGAGGTATGAGAACTGGCTCGATTTTACTATAGCCTCTCTCTAAGAGCGGTTCCATCCGGTAAGCTACCGGATCGGACCAATGAAATATATTGTAAAACCTCTTGCATAAATTCTGCGGCATCACGTCCAGTCTATTGGATGGAGTACGTGTGCGCAACGCTAAGAATACAGACAGCGGAGAACCCAGACAAAACAAATTCTCGATCTGTGAACAGAAAGACGAAACTTTCACTCTGCCCATTCGGGATGTATGGAATTCTTAGGGCAAAGTAATTAGAAATAATTTTTTATCGAAATGATTGAATATATTTCAAGGGAAATAATACAGTTTGGTTCATGAGAAATTTAAGTATTTTATCCGAAATTTGCGTAATTTTATTTATGGAGAATTGTATGATAACTCACGGGAAATTGTAATCCTTGCAGCAAAACTTCTTGCGTCGGGGACGGGAGACGTGTGTCGGGTCCCATCCAGCCTGTAACTATGTCATACACAATTACACATCCTAAAGAGTGCGCCAAGACTGACACCTTCCCTTGCCAGCCAGGGTGCCGGCTCGCAAACATAAAATATAATCTATTTAGCTCCTTTTGCAAACCGGCTCTGACCTCAGCGCCATACAGGGGACTTGTATAATACAGAATATCCATCGCTGATGTGTTCAGCAAGTGGCGTATACTCAGTACACTATAAGGCGTAATCGCGTCAACTATATCTGAAAAAGGGAATCGCACGTTCGGTGAATTAAACATAAGCAGCGTTATTTCTTCACTGTTAAATCTCTGCTTTACCTCCGTCCAATTTCAACGATGACCGCCATTCAACTGCGAAAAATTCCACTCTATGCTTCGAAGTCGGAAAGTATCTCTGTTTGAGCCAATCCACGCAGTCTCTAAAACTATTATTTCGGGTGAGAAAAGATGGTTTCGTCGTGATATATTTAAAGTGCAAATTACGCAGAATACAAAAGAACTTGTTATATTTTTTACCATGTGGTGTTACGTATAATTTTCCCTGTATCTCGTTTTTGTCCTATTCCGTGAACAACGAATACTAGATGATCGATATCGCGTGGCTTATTTTCCAAATTCGCACGCGTTTTGTATCCTCTTTTTAATCGATAACCTGTTGCTGTAATTCAAATAAAGGAGATACATTAAGTTCTAATATTCCGTATTTTTAAATATTGTATTATATGCAAAAATACGGCGAGACTGTCGGTATAATCAAATCGTTCAATTTTGCAAAAGGAAGTCAAGCGACACAAAACAAATTTAAAATTTAAATTACTTACTCTTGGAAAAACCCAGTTTTGACGTGACACTACGCATCAGTTTAGTAGGTGTATATTCACTATATAATGTCACATCATTAATCGTATGCCAGTCAACGTGAAATTCGGGGAATTGTTCGGTATGTAATACTGGAAAAGGACGAAAACTCTTTAGCACTTATATTACACAGTATATTACACAGTTTCTCTCCTCTGGAGAACAAAATGACGAATACCTTTGTAAGATTGATTATTTGTATCACACTTAGAACTACTTTGATTGTTGCTTTCTCTTTGGAATAGATTGAGATGGACTTCCTCTATTACTTTGGAATGTTCTGTTTCTAATGGTACCCAACTACCATCATAATACCATGTACCTCTCATAATTTCCCACTCTTCGCCTTAAATAAAAAAGTTCATTATAGAAAAAAGTTTATATACAAAAAAAGTGATCTCAAAAGTCTCAAGTCTAATATTCAAAGTTCCAAGTCTAATATTTAAAGTTTCAAAGTTCAATATTCCCATTTTTGCAGGCAACCTCATAAATAATTGAAATTAACGTTTTCAAAATATATATTATTGAAAAATGATAAAAAAGAATTGCTAGAGAAATATCATATAAACGTTGTCTCGCGCTAGATTATACACTAAAATTATATTATACAAATAATAAATAAAGTGATACACATTTGGATAAATATTTTTAACCGATTCTTTGTTAGAGTGATGAAATCTATTGGCTGCATCATATTAGTTTCACACATGCTACAGCTCCGTAACAAGCACAACCAATAAGAATTGGCTATAATAAACTCAAGGACAAAGTAATCTCTGCAGTATAAAGACATACACTATACACAACAGGCAAGATGTAGAAATTCAAACAGGAATTGAATCATTATTGAGACACTCAAATAAACCATATTTATCAGTTCAATATTCAGTTGTTGACCCACATTGATTAAAGTAATTGGAATATAATAGAATATAATTAGAGTAATATGCAATCAATAAATGTATATGGCAGTATACAAGCTATGAATAAAATTATAATAAAAGAATGTGACAAAAATACAAAAGAAGATTATGACACAATATTTACCTGGCCAGTATATGGAAACACATTTCATATTATCAATTTCAACATCGTACATGCCTCCTCTGACCACAATTTTTTCAGCAGGTGGCAAATCACTTGTTTCAGAGATACTTTTGCTGAGTAAATCTTGACGATCCTGATAAATCTTCTCAATTCTTAAGCTATCATATCCACAAAACTCCACCCATCTTTTGTCAACACCATCTTTGTAAAACCACCGTATCTCTTCCGGTGTCAAAGGTTCTGCATAAACAGCTTCTCCCACATCGGTCTCTAAGCCATTCTTTGGACTTTCATCTATAATTCCTTGATCATTTCCTTTGTGGATAAAAAAAAATCATGTTTCATACTAACAATTATAATGAATCATAGTAAGTTATAATAAGTTACAGACAAAGTAATAATTGACACATTGATCATGCACATTGATCTTTGTACCTTAAATATATATGTGATCTTTGTATCTTAAAGATATATGTAAAATACTAATGATAAAGACATTTCAGGCAATTAGACAGAAACATTCGGATACAAGAAGAAGACCTTCCATTGTACACACATTTATATGTAAAGAGATAAGAGTAAATAATATAACAAAAATGAAATTAAATATACATATGTAAGCAGAATTTAATCAGACCGTAGTGAAGTGCTTACATAGAGGGAAACTCTATACTTGAGTTTCTCAAAGCAATGCAAATACTTAGAGATAAGAAATGGGAATCTAATCAACAAAAATTACTTTGCGCGATTCAATTGGCTAACAACGGAACGATATCACACGCCACTTTTCCAAGACTTTCTAGCTGAAACGAGCACTTGTGTGCTTACAGAAAAACGAGGACATAGTGACAACCAACCAGCGATACCGCATTAAACGACGCGACGCCGCTGCCTCTTTGTCGGCGTGCAATAACGATTCCGCAAATTTACGCAGGCTAAACACAGGCGTGTGTATCTCTCGCCTCGTACCTTCACAGGACTCGAGCTCCATAGGCGTCTCGCTGAACGGGTCGACCTCGCTCCGAACGTTGGACATCCCGCTGGGACTCCAGGTGTCGAGCTGGAAACTCGCGCGCGAGACAGAGGGAGAGAGAGAGAATACAGTCGGTGTGTACAAACCCGGTTCGGATCTTCAGGTTCAACGGACGGCCGACGATATCTCCCCGTTGAGCGAAAATCGACGGAAAGACCGAGCACTGAATCACCACGCTGCGTCTGGCAACTCTTGTTATCGCTGTCACACTGTCAGCCTCGGAGTACGAATCACGAGCGCGTGACAAACTACTGAGTGTGTATGTGTGTATGTATGTGCACAGTGTGTGCACTGTACGATATCGTGAACGAGAACGTCGTTCCGTTCGTGTCTCTATCTGTCTCTCACTACGCCCTGATTCTTACCACTCTTGTAAACGACAGTTCGTGCGTAAATTGACTAGTCGTCCTTGAAACGCGGATCGCATGCAACGCTTTATCGGTGAACGCGCAAACTCTCCCTCCCCCGATAGAGACAGATCGACTGACCGACAGCGACTGACAACGGCCGCGCTTTATCTAAAATTGCGCTCAGGTCTTGCGGTTTGCACCATGCCATTAACCGTCGTTATCGTTCATCGTGCGCGATTCAGGCACGGGCGATCGCGAATTCGCCAGCTCGGTCACGCTCGTCTTATGTAATGTCCCGCGGTTTCCTGTATCGTGTCGGCTGCGGCAACACGCGCCCGTTTCACCGCCTTCGGCGACCAGCTGATGCATGAAGGCGCACTGCGTGCTGCTGCACAGCGTGCGCGTAACGTATCCGGAGATGATGTATCCCCTTCCTATGCGGCACGAAGTTGGCGTTCGTTGCTGCTCGTGCGAGCGCACATGCGCACCAATCGCAATAATGCGCGGTCGCCAGCCAGGAGGACAGACGAGACCCAGGCGATTTTGAATGGCGTTTCCTTCAGCAAACGGCTTTCTCAACGGAGAGGACAGTTCGAGTCGGTTTCCTGGAGATTAATGGCACAGAACTCACTCTGCTCTTTTCGTCTCCTTTCATAATGCGACTTTATTGAACGGCGAATATCGGAATTTCACACGCGTGACCTTACATTGCTGTACAAGTGTCAAGAATAGGTAGCGTTCACACACACGTTTTAAAAATGTTTTATAAACGTTAGAATCAAACCTTTCATAACTGTTTCCAAAACGTTTCATAACGTTTCTGAAACGTTTTTCATGAGTAAAAATGTCCACTCAAAAAACGTTAAGTGAAACATTATTTCTGCGAAAAAAATCGTTGAAGAAACGTTTTATAAACGTTTTATAAATGATTCATAAATAAGGTTTCAGAGAGGTTCTCGTTGAAACGTTTCTTATTAGTGCTTTACGGTTCTGAAACTATAGATACTTTTAAAAAACTGATACGTGTATGTGTTTCTGATACGTGTACGTGCTACCTGGGTATAAAGCGTCGTCTACAATATGCGGAGTAAGCTTGGAGTAAGAAGTAAGCCGTAAGAATTAACCAATTATAGACGATTATTTTTATAATAATTGACTACGATTGACCAATTCTTACGGCTTACTTCTTACAAGCTTATTCCGCATATTGTTGACGACGCTTAAGCACGTCGTTACGACATTATTACATCCGGTGGTGCTAGCGTAGTGACCCAACTTCTACTGCCCTTGAATAATTAACATATTTTATTATTTGCCACGCTTCGACGATGAGGCACGTGCTGTAACTGCATTTCGAGCTATTGTAATATTGTGGACGCGGCATCTTCATTCCGCGTACGGGATAGCCTCCCAGTATCCAGGGGTGCACTTAGAAACGTCACCCAGATACACCCCTGGATGCGTTGGAGTGAGAGAGATACACGAGTAAAGAGAACAATACTTCACAGGGAGAAACTAAGTTATTCCTCCTTCTCCCCGCTCAAAAGAACGTCTTTTGGCACACGCTATGCCAATCGAATTTAGTCAACTAGAAACTGACGTGGTCGTGTTTCCGAAATCCACGAGCACAACAACATCAAACATGAATCATCCCGAACAGCACGTGCCATTTAGAAACATTTCCGAAACGTTTTACAAACGGCTATAAAACGTCAGTAGCATTATGTTTTCCACTATGGTATTACCCAATAAACAAAGAACATCAGATCAATATTTTTAAAATATTGAAATATTGATTTTATTTCTTTAACATTTTTGTTTAATATTTTAAAAATATTAAACAAATATTAAATATTTTAAAATATATAAATATTAATATATATATAAATATATAATATATATAAATATAATAAATATTATAATATAATAAATATTAATATATATATATAATTTATAAATATTTTAAAATATATAATATATATATTTCAAAGATATTACCGGATAATACGATGCCTTTGGATATTGCAAAAATGTTTTAGAAATATTAAAAAATCAAAGTTATTTAATAATGTCGGTAAAACGTTAAAAACTACATGTTAGAAAACGTTATGTGTTACTAAATATCGTTGCAATAACGTTCTATTAGTGAGTTTTTGTTTACTGAGTAATGTGCGCTACTAAGAAATAATTGTCACGTGGCACGCAAGTGTTACGTGGCTGGCAATTGGCTTGGCGCGTGAAGCTTGATATTGCATTGGAATATCAACACGCAATACGATTTAAGAAATTAGTAGATCATACGTCAAAACATCAGTGAAAGGACGCGTCGAATATGGCGTATACAAAGTACTCATTCAATATATCGAAGGGCGCGCATCGATATAGTGGAGCCAATCAGAACCGCCGTCTCGCCTCGTCCTTGATTCTCGCAACTCCTCGTCGAGAGTTCGCTTCGCATTCCCTTCAGTTGTCTTTTACGTTCGTGACGTAAAAGCTATTGTTCACTTGGCGGTTGGGACATGCGGCGCGTGTACGCTTAGATATAAATGGAATTGTGAGTTTCTTACAGGAAGATCTCGTCGAGCATCTCGTCGCGGCGTCGCTCTCTGACATGGGACGTTGGATGTCACATGACAAATATCGCGATACTGAATAGAGAAATCAGTATTCTGCGAAATCAGTTAATTTTCATGTCGTAAGTGCTTTTAGCTTATCTTTGTGCATACGAAAGATATGACATATAAGTGAAAGGCAAGTATGGTATACAGAAAAGCAGTGATCCCTCTAATTTAGAATTTCATTCAACTTTATATATTTAGAAGATATAAAAAAACAGAAGGATATCACGTGTACATACCTTATTACGCAGTACTATACAATATTCTTAGATCTTTAGTTCTTACATGTTAGTTCTTAGATCTTATGTCATATTATATTCCTAATATTTAATTATATAATTTTCTACGCGCGTCACGTTAGCAAAAAGCGATCGCAGTGAGAAATGACTTACCGATCGACATCGAAAAGTCGTCGAAATCGTCGAATCGACGTCGATTCGATGTCTATGGGTAAGTCATTTCTCACTGGGATACGATGTAACCGCGTACTATCAGCGATTTTCAGCAAGAAACTGATTACACCATGACAACGTTTTTGCAGATTTTGTTGCAGAAAGTTTTAGTCACTCGCGACCTCATTCGTATAATTTAATGTCGAGAATCGACGTTAATTTCCGCTGTGAAAAGAGCTGCTGGAAAATCGATTGAAGGATAAGTGGTGAGTTTGCAAAGTAACTTTCTGCATTACCGTCCGTGCTGGCTCGCCACGTAGCGGCAGTGCCCGCTGAGATGGCGCCACCACACGGGCAACTTTTCAAAGCATCCCATATACTATTATTCACAGATAAATTTAGAGATACGCACAAAAACGATAGTAAATCTTTCAACACGGGATCTTCAAAGTGCGACTTAGAATTTCAAACACGGCCTGCTCAGACTTACAAAAGAAGGTCCATCGTCCAGGGATACAGATGTCTATACTAATTATAATTAAAGTATAGATTGCTAACAAGCAATCGAACGTGTGTCGCGTAAGATTTCCGGTTGCATGCGAAAAAATGGCAGCGGTCCTGTTTGTGTGTGTGTGTGTGTGTGTGTGTGTGTGTGACGTGTCACTTATGTGAGTACTTAGAATGTGAGTCAGCGTGGCTATTAAGTTACTGTCGTAAAAATGCCAGTATCTTATTGCATCAAAAAATGTTGTAACAAAAAAATAGATGGTATTGGACGTTATTTGCTCTGCTTATTTTCAACAAAAGAATTTTATGACTAAACACAGTGAAAATATGTGGCGGTAGCGGCCATTTTCTCGCATGCACCGGAAACTCTATCGGACACAAGCCGTTATATGCTTTTAGATAGCCTATTAGCAATCTAGTTTAGTACAGACATCTGTGTCCAGGGACGACCGCCTAGGGAAATTTCTCACTGTCGGTTGACACGACACGTCGGGCGATCGATTCGCTTGGAGAGTTCGCGAAGGAGGCACTAGTTAGCGGTATTGCCTTCTCGAGGAGGATGAGAGAAGACTCGTCCTCCTCTTGAATTTAAGCTAGCCGCCACAGCTGTCGCCGGCGTTGTCGCCGTGATTGCCGGCACAGACGGTGTTGCGAAGCGAAACTTACGGTGCACAGTGCTGGTCGGATTTTCGTCATTCAGGGGCTCATACCGACGACGACGTGACACACACCTACACGGCGTGCGAAACAAAATAAGGGACGACAGTCGAGGTGGGTGTCACAGTTCGATCTGTCAGTTGTCCTTTTCGATTGATGATGATTTCCCGGTTGCTTAGTCGATTGGTGGCAAGACGATATCGGGCCGTCGCTGTGTTCGCGTTTCCTCACGCGCGTATTGCGGCTCTCTCTCTCTCTCTCTCTCTCTCTCTCTCTCTCTCTCTCTCTCTCTCACACACACTCTTTTTCTCATTACCTCGTCATATTACGCTGAAGAACGAAATTATCGCGAAGGCCTGGTCGCGCCAACAGTTTGAATGAAATGCGTCAGGAATTCGTCTCCCTTTTTCAAGCTGTGGTCTGAACTCCCTCCCTCTCTCTCTTTTCATTTATTTGCGACGCAATAACAGAATCGCGACGATCGACGACGGAGGTCAATCTTTTGCCGTGTATGAGAAATCGATGTAATCGAAATTCCATTGACTGTGGACTCTATTGTGTAGAAGGAGAGAGAAAACTTGTTTAGCTGAAGTCATTGTCAAGTTAATTAATTGACTCGTTAGCTCGAGATGTTGACACAATTGGCCCTCAAACGCGGCCAGTGTCCTTTATATAAATCGTGTCTTATAAAAAGGATAAAAAACAAGTAAATATCGCGCAATTTCTCCTGTAACAGAATGTTCCGGTGCAAATACTTTCAAGTGAAGAGAAAACGTGAGGACTGCGCGAGAATTGTGATGTAAGATTATTTCACGCTCAAGCCGTTAACATTTAACGGCTCATTAAAGCGTGTCCCGTTCCTTCGAACGACGCGACCTTGTCCTTCGCCGGCCACTCGTCGACAATAGATTTGATCTCCTTGGCCGCGTGTCTACTTAGAGCGAATTCGGTTGTTCGCTTTAGTGCGCACTGAGTGCGTACTAAAGCTTGTTCATAGTATGTTATTATATTTAAAGATTGTCTTAAATAAATTTTAACCATCTTAAAATATTTTTAACCATAATATGATATGTACAACATCCGTACGAATTATTTTATTAGCTAAAATGTTTTTAAATATGTATTTAAGACACGATCTTAAATATAAAAATGTACTGTAAACAAGCCTTAACGCGCATTCAGTGCGCACTAGTGCAAGCTACCGAATTCGCTATTAGATTCAACATGAAACGCATGTGCACGCGTCGTTCCAACACAAAAAAGAAGATAAACATTGCTGAAAGATACAAAGAGTGCAGCCGGTGAGAACAGTCGCAAGATGACAGAGTGGCAATTGTCGACATTTAATTGCATTTGGCATCTTTTATTGAAAATTACATTTAACGAGTGCGGCCAATAGTGACCTAGGTTTGTGGCTAAGAAGTTTTGGAATTATTTTGAACTTAAAATAAAGTTCGCGCAGATCGCAAATATGCAAAATGATCAGGCCTCAGAGAAATTTAAGCAGCAAGCAAATTGACCAATCACAGTCGATTATTCTTCTTACTGTCCAAGGCCCGTATTCTGAGTTCTCTTTTAACGATAAATGAGCCTCCAAAAGTGTCTTATAAGCTTTCTGATTGGCTACAAGTCACTTTTAGAGGCTCATTTATCGTTAAAAGAGAACTCAGAATACGGGTCCAAGAGTCAACGACTGTGATTGATCAGTTTACTTATTGTTTACGTTTTATTGATGAAATTTTTCTGTGTGCCATGGCCCTAACCGCGGCTGCAGTTAGGGCAACGCGGAGAGCACTGACGCCATCTCAATGGGTCACATCTCTGTAAACTAAAATCTGACAACTTTGGCATTTGCATATTTGTAATCTACGTACCACAAA